CCCCAGTCCTCCCATCAGTCCTCCCATCAGCCACAGTCCTCCCATCAGCCCCATTCCTCCCATCAGACCCAGTCCTCCCATCAGTCCTCCCATCAGCCCCAGTCCTCCCATCATCCCAATTCCTCCCATCAGCCCCAGTCCTCCCATCAGTCCTCCCATCAGCCCCAGTCCTCCCATCAGTCCTCCCATCAGCCCAATTCCTCCCATCAGCCCCAGTCCTCCCATCAGTCCTCCCATCAGCCACAGTCCTCCCATCAGCCCCAGTCCTCCCATCAGTCCCAGTCCTCCCATCAGTCTTCCCATCAGCCTCTCCCAGTCTGGAAGAGGCGGGTCCAGTCCCCGTTAGAGGAGGCGGGTCTGGTTCTGCGTCAGGTCCGCAGACAAAAGAAGAATTTGGAGGAGAACCTTGAGGCTCTGCTGAGAACCAGAACCGGAGAAGTTCTGCACGACCAGCTGGAGGCGCTGGCTGCTAACAGGTAGCTAATGCTAATGCTAACTCTGCATGGTGAATAAGTGAGGAAGCTAACATGTAGCTAATGCTAACTCTGTGTTTCCTGTTTGCAGAGACTCGACGCAGGAAGTCCGCATCAAGAAGACGGTGGACGCCTGGATCAACTCGCTGACCCAAGACATCCAGGTACGCTACACCTGCACACCTGTACACCTGTACACCTGGAGCCTACCTTACCCACGATACAACACTAACTTCTTCTTCTTCATCTGAACCTGGAGCCTACATTACCCACAATGCAATGCTCTCTTCTTCTCTCCAGGCCGAGATGTACTCAGAAGAAGCTGCGATGACATCACAGCAGCAGGTTGCAGGTAGCTCTGCCCCCACAGGTAGGGCGAGGCCAGTGAGCGCGCTTAAAGGAACAGGAAGTCAGCCTGCAGGGGGGAGAGTAAGAACAGGAAGTCAGGCGGCGGGGACAGGAAGCAGAGCGCAGGGGGCGGAGCCTGATGCTTCCTCAGGTGAGGCGTACCTGAGCCGTCTGTACGGCAGGGCGGCATACGAGGGTCAGAGGCGGAGCCTGAAGAAAAGCCCCTACCTGCGCCTCAGCTCACCTGCCCCCCCGCCCAGCAGGAAGCCCCGCCCCCGGCTGCTGGAGACCGTCACAGGTGAGACTCACCTGCATTATATATAATCTTACGATGTCTTTGTTAAGGGATCAGAAATATATTATTATTACCTGCAGGTGTGAAGGTGAAGTCCTGTAAGACTCAGACCTGTTTGGCTCCGCCCCTCACGCCAGCAACTGGACGACCTCATGACATCATCATCAGCCCCTCCCTCCTGACCTCAGGTGTCCTCACACTGACCCCCGTCGCCATGGCAATCCCTCTAGGTCAGTACACTCAGGATAAAGAGTCTGGAAGACTACATTATCCACAAACCCCTCTGGGACTTAGACTGTTATAGCATTTTAAATATAGTTATTATTTCAAGTATTTTAGATTTTATTTTGAAGGTTTTTTTAAAGAGTTGGGTGGAGTGGGGGGGAAGCCTCTGGACCGACCTGGTAAGCCCAAACGTGTAGTGCGGGTGAACTGGGAACATCTGGAGGAGTCCCAAGTCCAGGAGGCCTTCAACTCAGGCATCCCTGTGGAGTCTGGGGACATTGAACCAGAGTGGGCGGTGTTCAAAGCCTCTATTGCTGAAGCCGTGGTGGGGAGCTGTGGTCTCAAGGTCTTAGGTGCCTCAAGGTATCCCTCGAATTTCCTGGTGAACACCAGTGGTCAGGGAAGCCGTCCGACTGAAGGGGGAGGCCTTCAGGGATATGTTATCTTGGGGGAGACATGTTATCCCGGGAGAGTCCCGAGGCAGTTGCAAGGTACCGACAGGCCGAAGAATAGCAGCCTCAGGCGTGGCAGAGGCAAAGCAGCGGTGTGGGAGAAGTTCGGAGAAGGACTTGAGGGACTGTCATGGTTGAAACGTCTCATCAACATTGCGTGGAAGTCGGAAACAGTACCAAAGGAGTGGCAGACCGGGGTTATGGTTCCCCTTTTCAAAAAGGGGGATCAGACGGCGTGTGCAAATTAGAGGCATCACACTACTCAGCCTTCCCGGGAAATTTTACTCCAAGGAACTGGAAAGGAGGGTCAGGCCGATAGTCGAACCTCAGATTGAGGAGGAACAATACGGATTCCGTCCTGGTCGTGGAACGACGGATCAGCTTTTTACTCTCGCAAGGATCCTGGAGGGGCCTGGGAGTACGCTCATTCGGTCTGTGTTTTGTAGACTTGGAGAAGGCGTATGACCGGGTTCCCAGGGAGTCACTCTGGGAGGTGCTGCGGGAGTATGGGGTGAGGGGGTCTCGACTCAGGGCCATCCAATCTCTGTACTCCCAAAGCGAGAGCTGTGTCCGCGTCCTCGGCAGTAAGTCGGACCCATTTCCGGTGAGTGTTGGCCTCCGCCAGGGCTGCGTTGTGTCACCAATCCTGTTTGTGATATTCATGGACAGGATTTCAAGTCGTGGGGGAGGGGGTCTGCAGTTTGGTGGGTTCTCAGCAGGAAACCGATGGACTGTACACTAAAAGTAGGGAATGAGTCCTTAGCCCAAGTGAAGGAATTAAAGTATCTCTTGTTCTCGAGTGAGGGAACAATGGAGCGAGAGATGGACCGGAGAACCGGAGCAGTGGGAGCGGTACTGCAGTCGCTTTACCGCACCGTAGTGATGAAGAGAGCTGAGCCAGAAGGCAAAGCTCTCTGTCTACCGGGCCATTTTCATCCTACCCTCACCTGGTCATGACCAAAATAACAATATCGCGGATACAAGCTGCCGAGATGGGTTTTCTCCGCAGGGTGGCTGGCGTCTCCCTTAGGGATAAAGTGAGAAGTTCAGTCACCCGGGAGAGACTTGGAGTAGAACCGCTCCTCCTTGGTGTTGAAAGGAGCCAGTTGAGGTGGTTCGGGCACCTGGTAAGGATGCCTCCTGGTAAGGATGCCACCTGGTAAGAATGCTACCTGGTAAGGATGACCAGGTGGAGGGATTATATCTCTACCCAGGACCAGGTGGAGGGATTATATCTCTACCCTAACCCAGGTAAAGGGATTATATCTCTACTCTGGCCTTGGAGCTCCTTGGATCCCCCAGTCAGAGCTGGTTGAAAAGAAAGGGACGTTTGGGGCTCTCTGCTGTCGCTCCACGACCCGACACGGATAAGTGGGAGAAGATGGATGAATGTTTTTTTTAAAGTATTTTATGTTTTATTTTGAAGGGCGTCGCAGGATGGACTCTTCTTTCAGGCGTGTCCTTGAGAGTCAACAGGAAGTGACATCACCACCCAGACCCCGAGAGGTTGCCGTAGGTGACGGAGTGCCTGAGCTGCAGGTGGAGGAGCCGCCGTCTACAGCTGAAGCTCCTCCACTTCCTCCGTCTACAGCTGAAGCTCATCCTCTTCCTCCCTCTACAGCTGAAACTCCTCCTCTTCCTCCGTCTACAGTTGAAGCTCATCCTCTTCCTCCGTCTACAGCTGAAGCTCCTCCTCTTCCTCCGTCTACAGCTGAAGCTAATCCTCTTCCTCCGTCTACAGCTGAAGCTCCTCCTCTTCCTCCTCCTGCTGAGACCCCAGAGCAAGAGGAGGAGGAGGAAGACATATTTCCTGGAACTCACTTCCTGTCTGTCGCTGACGTCGTCCAGGTAAACAACTTCTTCTTCTTCAGTTTGTGTGATTCATTTATAAACCATATGAAGTGAACCCTCCCTTTCTCCCCCCTGTGTGCAGCCTGCGGGGAGTGCTGTGGGAGAGGAGGGGAGTGCAGTGGGAGAGGAGGGGAGTGCAGTGGGAGAGGAGGGGAGTGCAGTGGGAGAGGAGGGGAGTGGAGTGGGAGAGGAGGGGAGTGCATTGGGAGAGGAGGGGAGTGGAGTGGGAGAGGAGGTCCTGCAGCTGGAGGGAGGCGCCCCCCCCCCTTCGGACCAGTACCAGGGTCCAGTGTTCCCCCCCGAGCC